TTTGTTTTAGAGCACTTTAATAAATTATTAAGATTATTAAAAAGGATTCTTTCCGTTTAACACTAACATAAAAATTAGGGTTTCGTGAGGATTAAGTGAGGATTAAGGATTTATTTAGAAGAATTACCGTTTAGTTTAAGAATTTGTTTTGTTAATCTAAACATAATTCTATGGCTAAAATCCACTCGGGATATAGTGAAATTAAAAAATGATTATAAATAATTATTTTACGTAATTGTAAAAATATGTTGGTGTAACAAATTTAAAAATTTTTCATCTTAAGAAGGGGTTTATTTTTTTATTGTTTAATGTTGACCCACTTAGAGCAATAAGTAATTAAAAATATTTATATATGGGGAAATGTGAAAGAAGTTAAACATTAATTAATTAATTTATATGTTGATAATTAAATTATTAATTAAAACAAAGGAGGAATGAAATTGTGAGAATAATATGAGGTAATATTAAAATATGGGAAAGAAAATGATAGAACATCATCATCATTATTTTGACCTTCTTTTTTAATTGTACCAAAATCATCCTTATTCTCACTAATCTCAAATATCCTATATATAATTTATTTAATTTTTATAATTAAGAATTGAAATAATAGAATTTTAAGATAGTGCAATCATTTTTGTTGATTTAAAAGGATATATATTACAAAAAGAACCACATATTCTAAAGTGAAATATTATAATTTAATCTTGGTATTTAGACTTTATAAATCATGGAATTGTGACTAATTTTGTTAAACAATATTCCAAATAAAGTCAGTGTCTAAAATAAAATGTGCCCACTTCCAAATCACTCATCTAACTAACAACATTATTATTATTATTATTATTGTTTCTATTGTCCAATTAAAATTTTCTTTTTTATTAAAGATTCAATTTTGATCGGTACAAATGTCTTAATTTAGTGAGATTTACGTTTAAATTATGAGTATCATGAGTTAGTTAATTAATGAAAAATCATTGAATACCTACTTTAAACTCCGAAAATAAAAAGAAAAAATATTTACAACACTCAAAAGAATAAGAATGTTTACCTACCAAAACAATCTCATTTCATCACAAAAACTATTCAAGTTAGCTACGGAAAGGAGCGTTTTGAACGGAACATCTACTTGGAGTGAGTTTTACTTCCTAAATCCAACCTATATTTACCCCGAGAATTTGTTTAAGACTTTAAATAATAGTTCACTCTTTTGAAGTTTTTCGAATTCAATTTTTTTAAAAAAGTTTGAAGTTACTAATCCTATACTTCAAACATAAAATTTCTCGACCCAAATTTTTTTTTTCGAGTGCAAACTTCTAATTTTTTAATCGAGGGAATTGCTTTCCTGAATTTTATATATTATCCATACCAAGGCACGAAGTTTTGAATGAATGGGGTTGGGGTTGCTCTGCGTAAAGGACTCTCCTCTGTTTTCCTCTGCTTTCCTCTGTTCTCTGCAAACTCTCCAACTCCAACAAAAATCACACAATCCAACGAACCCGAGATGAGGTTCTTTTTTGTTTTTGGGTTTTCTTCTTACATTTCGTTCCTTCTTCTACTTTCTTGAAACTCCCAAAATTCAGTTTTCATTTCATTCCAGTGGGTAACAACCAAGAAAGTAGCTCAACCACAGAGTTTTAAGCTTTAAAGCACTGCCAAAGCAAAGCCAAACCTCCCCATTTCCATGCTCTCTTTTTATCCTGAAATTCTCCCTATCCTACCTTCTCAAGCAAACCTCTAAATCTTACCTCAAACCCCCCCATCGCTGCTTGCTGGTTCCTTTCGAATTACGAGCCACCCCCCACTCAAATGCCCCTCTTCACAAGCTTAAACACACAAACCAACTGAACCCACTTTGAATCTTTCGTTTTCGGTTTCTGGGTTTTGTTCCTTCGAGGGAATAATGGCGCCTGCCAAACAGAGTACAGAGGAAGCCATCGTTCCGAGCTTCAATCAGACGACGGAACAAGAAGAATACAGAGAAGAACAGAGGGAGGAAGGAGATGAATCTTTGGTCGGATTCAAGAGCTTTCTGTGGCATGGTGGCTCCGTGTATGATGCTTGGTTCAGCTGTGCCTCCAATCAGGTACCGTATTACATGGCCTTAACCTTTCAAGTTCCATAGAAAATCACAAGATTTAGTCATTCTCAGCATTTTCTTTTGCAGGTGGCTCAAGTTCTGTTGACTCTGCCCTACTCCTTCTCTCAACTGGGGATGCTTTCGGGGATCATTTTACAGATTTTTTACGGATTTCTCGGGAGCTGGACGGCTTATTTGATCAGTATTTTGTATGTCGAGTACAGAGGGAGGAAGGAGAAGGAGAACATTAGCTTCAAAAACCACGTCATTCAGGTTTAAAAAAAACAGAGTTTGTAAGTCTGGTCTCTGTTTTTCTGAACAAAATTGTTGATCATTTTATCAAATGTCTGGTGTTTTGACAGTGGTTTGAAGTTCTGGATGGTCTTCTCGGGCCGTGGTGGAAAGCAATTGGATTGGCTTTTAACTGTACTTTCCTCCTCTTCGGCTCTGTCATTCAGCTCATTGCTTGTGCAAGGTCCTTGTGTTTTCTTATCTTCTTTTCCTCCTCCTTCTTTGAAAACATTTGGACAATGAAATATGGGGTTTTGTTGCAGTAATATATACTACATAAATGACAAATTAGACAAGAGGACATGGACTTACATATTTGGAGCTTGCTGTGCCACCACTGTGTTCATACCCTCATTCCACAACTACAGAATCTGGTCGTTCCTTGGCCTTGGAATGACCACCTATACCGCCTGGTATTTGACTCTCGCTGCGCTCCTTCACGGTCAGGTAATTCCGACATCAAACCAACCAATCCCTATCTATCAACCCCTCGGTAACATGTCATTTCGTTGTAGGTCGAGGGGGTCAAGCATTCAGCTCCCACTGAGCTGGTCCTGTATTTCACCGGTGCCACCAACATTCTTTACACATTCGGTGGCCATGCCGTCACAGTGTACGCCTACGCCTTGTCATGATCATTGTCGTATGATCTTAATTTCTGGGCTTGAAGTTGGGGGTTTGTTTTTGCAGAGAAATTATGCATGCGATGTGGAAGCCTCAGAAGTTCAAGTATATATACTTAGTGGCCACTCTGTATGTCTTTACGCTCACCCTGCCTTCCGCCACCGCCGTCTACTGGGCTTTTGGCGACCAACTTCTCACCCATTCCAATGCCTTTTCCCTCCTCCCTCGCTCTCCGTGGCGCGACACTGGCGTCATTCTCATGCTCATTCACCAGGTTATTGTCGAGGATTGTTGGAAGGAAGTACACATTAACTAATTTAGAGAATACTAATGACTTTTAAGTCTCTGCTCCCATTAATTTGGTAACAGGGGAAATATTTGATTTTTGATGGCAGTTCATAACATTTGGGTTTGCTTGTACGCCGCTGTACTTCGTGTGGGAGAAAGTGATAGGAATGCACGACACGAAGAGCTTATGTTTAAGGGCGCTTGTTCGGCTGCCGGTGGTGATACCCATATGGTTTTTGGCGATTATATTCCCATTCTTTGGCCCTATAAACTCCGCTGTCGGAGCCCTTCTCGTTAGCTTCACTGTTTATATCATCCCTGCTTTGGCTCATATCCTCACTTATCGATCCGCTTCTGCCCGGCAGGTAAAACACTCAATCTAGTTTGAACTTGATTTTAATCCAAATTGGTTAAATGGGTTTCTTTTTCCTGTTGTAGAATGCATCGGAGAAACCTCCGGCGGTGTTGGGGAGGAGCTGGACGGCGATGTTTGTGGTGAACGCGTGCATAGTCACGTGGGTTCTGGTCGTCGGATTCGGGTTCGGCGGGTGGGCCAGTATGGCCAATTTCATCAAACAAGTTGACACATTCGGACTCTTCGCCAAGTGCTACCAGTGCCAGTCCAAAGCGCCGTCGTCCACGGCGGCTCATCGCTGATCAGTTCCATAGTTGTTTCTTTGCTGCTTTTTTCTTACACCATAATCTTTTGTTATTATTATCTTCTTCGGTCTTTGTGAATGTAAGTTTGCGTCATCAATATAAACAAACTCTATATTTTAGGGATATATATATATATATATATATACACATATTTGTGTAATACATAAATATTTGTAATACAAATACTAAATTTAAAATTAAATACAGGCAAAAAAAAATTACTTGGACTAAACATACAGGACAAGAAACTTAGGGAAGGAAAGAAAAAAAAAAAAAAAAAAAAATAAATAAAAGGTTAAAAAGGGCCCAACCGGGTTCGAACCGGTGACCTCTTGATCTGCAGTCAAATGCTCTACCACTGAGCTATGGACCCGTTGTTATTTGTTGGTTGATATATTTAATTAAATTGAAATATTACGAATTTCCATTTTATTTATTTAAAAATTAAAACGTACGGCAATTTGATTGGGCTTTGGGGCCCAATACTTAAGTCCTTCAGCTCCCCCTTCCCTTATTTAAGAAGATTGAAGCCCAACAAGAAGTACGACATGTCGAACTCGATGGCCATGCAAGTTTACACGATCAATTGAGAACGACAGTAGAAAATAAATTGAACATAATTCCCTTTCTAATTATCCTTATCTTATTCTCTTAATCCCACCTCCGTTTACAAATAAAAAGAGGGATATTATAATAGGAAAAAGAAAGAGAGAGAGCGCACGTGCAGTGCAGGTGTGGCAGGAGGGAAAGAGAAAGGTCAGACATCCGCATTGTTGATAATACTGATGTTGATGTGCTGGGGAAACCTCCAAGTTTCTCAGATTACACACGTTTTGGTGAACTCAATACATAAGTCTCATTATTGGAATTCTCTAAAATACTTATAATATTCTTTAATTATAAACTCAATACATGTTTTGGTGAAGACCACCCGTGTGGCTCTGCCTCACTTTCTCTCTCTTCCTCTCTCTCTCTCTCTCTCTAAAGATCCCATTTTTATTTCTTTTCCTTCCATGTCTCCTAATTTGCTCAAGAACCCATTTCCCCTTTTTCATTTTCAATTTAGTCTCCCATGGCTTTCTTCTTCTTCTTCTTCTTCTTCTTCTTCTTACTCTTTTCCTCTCTCTTCGTCTCTTCTCTCTTTCTCTTTTTCCGCTCCGTCACATTCCGCCGAGTGCGCCTGCCTCCGGGAACTCTCGGCCTCCCCTTAATCGGGGAGACCCTTCAACTCATCTCCGCCTACAAGACTGAGAACCCCGAACCCTTCATCGACGAGCGGGTCCGCCGCTTCGGACCGGTTTTTACTACTCATTTGTTTGGCGAGCCGACTATTTTCTCGGCCGACTTGGAGACGAACCGGTTCATTCTTCAGAATGAGGAGAAGCTTTTTGAATGTAGCTACCCCGGTTCCATTTCCAACTTGCTTGGGAACCATTCTTTGTTGCTTATGAAAGGGAGTTTGCACAAAAGAATGCATTCTTTGACTATGAGCTTTGCCAATTCGTCCATTATTCGCGACCGTCTTTTGGTCGATGTGGACCGGTTGATTCGGCTCAACTTGCAGTCCTGGACCGGCCGGATCTTCCTCTTGGAGGAGGCCAAAAAGGTACTCTAACATTTATTTTTTCTCTTTTTTTTAATTAAAATAGAAATGGAATTCCATTTCAATAAAAAAAAATAATAATAAATAAATTATTATTATTTCTCAATGTCGGGGTCCTCCCAAGAGATTCCCGGCGCACGTTAGCAACAAAACAAGAAAAAACCTATAATTCTATTTCCAGTACAGATCATGCAAGTTTTTTTTTTAATTATTCTTTTGGCCGTTCCTTTTATAATTATGTTTTTTTTTTTTTTTGTATATTTAAAAATATAATTTAATTTTTGTAAAAAAAATCAGATAACGTTTGAGTTAGCCGTGAAGCAATTGATGAGCTTTGATCGGTGTGAATGGACACAAAATCTGATGAAGGAATATCTTCTGGTCATTGAAGGCTTTTTTACCGTCCCTCTCCCTCTCTTTTCCACCACTTACCGTGGAGCCATTCAGGTAACTTTTTTGAGTTGACCCGACACTAGAATTAGACCAAAAGACATAATATTTACTAACATAGATGTTGACCTCGTAAATAATTGAGATACTTTTTTCACGTAATAATTCTTTCATGGACCCATATGATTTGGAAATATATTGATATTATAAGTTCATTGTATTCTTGAGATTTCATTATCAAACGTGACGTCATACATGAATTTGAGATGCGACAAATGAAATGATTCATGCTAGAATTAAGTTAAGCTTTTGAAATTAGGCTCGGAGGAAGGTGGCGGAGCAATTGGGGTTGGGGACGGTGGTGCGGCAGCGGAGAAAAGAGAGGGAGGGTGGAGTGAAGAAGAAGGACATGCTAGGAGCGTTGCTGGCCGGAGAAAACTCCCTCTCCGATGAGCAAATAGTAGATTTCTTATTGGCTCTATTGGTGGCGGGGTATGAAACGACGTCAACTACCATGACGCTGGCCGTCAAGTTTCTGACGGAGACGCCACTGGCTTTAGCCCAATTACAGGTCACTTTCCGGTCCCCTTAATTTATTTATTTTCAATTATGGAATAGTGGGGGCGGAAAATTCCAAAATCAATGCCATTTACTTTTCTGTCCTTCACTTCAACCTCACATCCATTATCGCTAATTTCAATATTTTTCTTTAAAAAAAAACAATATATATATTGTTTTTTTATATATATATATTTTAAATATGGGTTTATATTTAATTATTAAAACTTGAATTGGTTGGTTATGTAAATGGGTAAAAGAGGGAATAAAAGGATGATTGTGAGACCGTAGATCTCAGTTGGATATTGATGATGTGGATTTATGTATTTGTTTAAAGCTATCCACGTGCACCTCTTAATAAACAAAATAAACTTTATTTTTATATAAAATAAATTATTTAGTCTCTCTACTTTCTCTATCCAATCAGATTTGAAATTTGAAGAATATTTTTTTAATTGAAATTAGTTTATTATGTTTATTATTATTATTATTATTATTATTATTATGGACTTAGATGCATGAATTTAAAAAAAGAAAAAGGAGAAGAAGAAAAAAACAAGAAAGGGTAAAAGAGTCAAAAGAGTGAAAGGGAAGAGATTGAAGAAAGTACATAAAATAGCAGAAGACAGAGAGAAGGGGATATTACATTATAATTAATATTTTTTGGTAAAAGTCAAAGGTAACTTAATTTCTTCTCTTTTCTTAAGTTATAAGAGAAAAAAAGATGTGAAATTACAAAAATACCCTTATGTTATACTCCACCCTCCTTTAGAAGGTTCACCACCATCCATTCCAAGACGATATTTAGAAACTTTTAATGTTTTAGCGGATAGTACATAACTAAACTAGTTGAGTTGGGTTGAGGTTGATATATATTAGTACTAAAAACGATAACAGGGGCAAATTGGTAATTTGAGATTGTCGTGATTGATGTGGTTGTTGAGGATAACGTTGATTGAAAAAGAAAGGAATGGGGGTGGTGACAGGAAGAGCAGGAGAAAATCAAAGGAAGGAAGAAGGAATCAGAGCAACATCTCCTCCAATGGAATGATTACAAGTCCATGCCTTTCACCCAATGTGTGAGTATGTTTTATACCCTAAATTAAATATTTTAATAATTTCGTAATCATTCCTTTATTATTTCTTTCTATAATAAAGGTTGTAAATGAAACATTGAGAGTTGGCAACATAATCAGTGGAGTTTTTAGGAGAGCTGTCACAGATGTGAATATCAAAGGTAACTCACTACAAGAAGCTAATTCTTCGATCGTTATTATATTAATCAAACCTATGTAACAATACAACATTGATTGATTCAGGTGGTTATACAATTCCAAAGGGATGCAGGGTTTTTGCATCGTTTCGTGCAGTTCATATGAACCATCATCATTTCGACGATGCTCGCTCCTTCAACCCATGGAGATGGCAGCAACAGGTACAATCTGTCAAATCTCAATCCTCTCAATACTTTACCATTCCTAACTTTTATCTCTGCAACCGAGCAGAACAGCTTGGGGTCAACCACAAATGCATTTACACCATTCGGAGGAGGTCCGAGGTTATGCCCGGGTTACGAGCTTGCCAGAGTAGAACTCTCTGTTTTCCTTCATCATCTTGTTACGCAATTCAGGTATTAGTAATGTCTCGAACAAAGTTTGAAATATGGAAGCAACTCTACTAAAGATCTATGATTTTCAGATGGGTTCCAGCAGAAGATGATAAGTTGGTGTTTTTCCCAACTACAAGAACACAGAAACGCTATCCTATCTACGTCACCCGTAAGGACGAAACAACACAATGTAAAGACACTCATCTATGACTTGGGGTTTCAATCTATCTCTCTATTGATCTTGTATGAATAAGATTATATGCTAAATTAATGAGTTTTAGTACACACAATATGAAGCTACTACTCAACAGTACAGCCAGCCAATGAATCACTTCTCTCGGCGGCCACTTCCCAAGAGCACCAATTTTCTAGCCAATCAAAATCAAACACTGCCTTCTACCCACATATCTTCTGGTCAGATGATCTCCTGGCTTCAAAATTCAGAGGATTTGAGTTGAATATGTGCAGTATGTGGGGTTAGGCTTCTTTACAGAAAGTCAGTCAGACAACAATTGCAATTGCATTGCACATACTCAAATACAGATAAGATATCAGCATCGGTTCGCTTCCTTGCTTTTGATTGTAGATTCAACTAGTTTAACCTTTTTGGCATTCTCGGCATTGAGAAGGGAGAGTTTCTCAAGCGACGATTTGAGTTGGGAGATCTGAGAGCCTTGAACACAGGTGTTTCTCCTGTGAATTTTGTGCTGTTGGTTTACTAGATTGTTGTTCTTTGAAGAATTGGTGTACCTCCTTAGTCTTGCAGTTAGTGTATCGATTGAAGTATGCAAAGCATCCACCTCCACACCTGTAAAGTGGTCTGGATGGCAACAAAGTATTATTTTGTTATAATATGAAATTTATGAACTCAACTCCATATTTGGGTTGCTTCATTTTCAGGCAAATCTAAAAGTTCGAAGTTCATAATGCATTTAAACCCATTTCTTCTATACATGCAACTAAGTAACCAAACAGTTTTAGATAAGTAATTTAATAGGCTAAGGAACACTTTTCACCCTTTCAAATATCAAATGAAATTAATTTTAATTAGTCATAAGCAAGCAAACAAATTCAAGTATCGTGGCTGAGAATTTATTACCAAGTGTAGATTTGAACTCTCTTTCTGCTTTGGACAATGGCCTTTTGTGAGCTCCTGGCAAGTTCTTCAACCGATGTATCCGTTCTTCCAGAACATTGTGCAGTTTGATTGCACTTTCTATCCTGTCCTCCAATAGTTCCTGTTTCCCTCCTACTTTTAAGAGCTTTTGTTGTGCCTCTCTTAAACGAGTTTGCTGATCGTCAATTAACCTCTTCAACTCGGGGCCATGCTGCTTGAGCTCATAGTATACCTACAGGAGGTAGAAGGTAAGAAGGAAGGAGAAATTTAGATATTACACACAGCGCTGAACTATCTAAATTATCTGAAGTAGTTGACAAAACACTTAATAGTTCTGCAGTAAATTTGCAATTACCGTGTGTGCATACTCCACATAATTTTCATGGAAGAGCTTGAAATACTGATGAAGCATGGACCGACCTTCAATCGAATCAGCAGTCACAGAACGCATATTTGATGAGGATTGAGGAAGGAGAACCACCTTAGGTCCGCTGAGAAGATTTTTGCTTATAATTTCGGATCTTTCACTTTCGTTCTTCTCTCCTGTCGCTGTGGCAGCTAATTTCCCCTCATTTAGGAAATTGCTAAACTGAACTGGGACTTGAAGGTTCCAAGTCTTCATTTCTAGAACAATACATTCCTGAGAAATGGTGACTCCCACAATCCAAGAATATCCAAATGAATCGGATAATGAGGCGAAACCACAAAGCGGAAATGGGTTGGAAGTGTCTCCCTGGCAGGTATTCAGAACAGGATGAACAGAGGGAGTTCTCATAGTCTGGTCCTGTCCTCTGCTTTGACTTGTGAATGGGAGAAAATGCAATATAATTGAGTCTATACCTCCATTATGAAGAGCATAAATTCTTTCATCCATAAGTTTATCGACAAACATCATTATAAGAGAACATCTCTCCATCTTCTTTGGAAGGGCCAGATCTACAATAGCCAGTCTCAGCAAAGGGGGAGGGAGCCCCAACCAAACTGTGTAATCAAGTGGTTGATCAAGCTTCACCTCGGAGAGCTTCCCTGTGATCAGTTCACATATCATAGCATGTCCAAGAATATTGTCGTTCGGATCAACATGTACACGTGGGGGACTACCAAGATTCCAGACAGGTTGAATTTCATCCGCAAGGGCGTCTATCTGCAGTTGCCCACCACTCCACGCTGTCACAAGAACTGAGTCTTTGCTGATTAGCTTATATAGTAAACTTACTGCACGACCTTCACATTCTGCACCTTTAATTGATATATCTCCTTCATTTCCATTATTACACGCTCTCCTCAAAGGCCCCTGGAAGACCATGTCATATGAAGATTAAGGATTCCACTAAATCCAGAACTAAGAGTATACTACAACCCATGCACATGCCATACCACTAAAAATTTGATAATAACACACACACACATAGATATATAGATATATATAATCTAGGGACATTGCCAACCACCAAATGCATCCATTGAAAATGTCTCATACCTGCAATGCAAGTGACGCATCAAATAAAGCACAAGGATGGGCTACTATCACAGTCATATCTCCTCCATCTGTTGCTTGAACTAAGTTTGGAAAAGTTTCTTCCAACCAAGAGATTGCAAGACTGGAATTACTGACAGCTGTTGGATTGGCTGATTTTAACCCAAAGGACTGAGCATCATTATAAATCTCCAATATAGATTCACACTTGTAAGTGCTGTCAAGGACAAAGCACGGACTTAGAGATAGTAATATATATAGTTCTATCCATTAATCGACTTAGAAACCATAAGGCACTAGTCAGACACAAGATTTTCTTGTAGTTCAAAAGTGGAAACTTGACTCATCATTTATGATTTCATGATAGAAGATGGGGGAAAGCATCCCCTCTGAATATCATCTTGACATATTTTACACAACTAAATATGTGAAGAACGAGAAACAAATAAGTGTCTGTCTTCGGTAATTGTAATTGATGTTCTTGATATCCAATAGTCATTTAAAGGATAGATGTGAGAAATTGAGTACCTTCTAAATGGAACAACAGGGCAGAGGATGTAAATTGAACCATCACTGAATAAAATGAACACCTGCAGGTATAGTGCGTGAGTGGATTTTTTAAATTGTAATGGTGGTCCTTAAACTGTTTAAGGGATGAATCTTAGCCACTCGCCATGGTATAAAGAAGAAAGCAACAGTTTTTCATGCATTGAGAAGTAGAACTAACATCAGATTTAAGATCCTATACATTGAGAAGTTTACTGAAATATCCTGAATGCATACATTTTAATGCATAGCAAGTTATAAAAATTTAATTTGGCTTGAGATTACCGATTCTAAAGGCATAGTGGAGCACCAAATGGACAGAACATAGAAAGTTAGTGGAGGAGATTGCAAAAAAAGTCATAAGAACAGGTTGAATTTTTTATTTATGTGTTGACAGAACATCGAATTAATCATTCATAAAAAAATTAGAATGCTCAAAGTAAATATCTGGGCAAGATAAAACGGAAAGCCAATGAGATAAGTTTTCATCATTATAAAGAAAAAATATTAAATTATCCAAATTTGAGATGACAAATTTCCAATGAATGTTCTTACACTGAACTTATCCCACAAGTGATCTCCCCCAAATGAAAAATCAACAGGGCAGATTGACGAGGCATTTTTAGATTGACCAGGTTCCACTGGCTGTAGATAATATTCTTGCTCTGGTTGCACACCATCTGAAGACAAATTGAAAAGCCTGAAAGGAAAAGGAGTTGAACAATAAGCCACCCCAGATCAGATGTTCAGGAAACACTAGGTTGCAATGGCAACATTTAGAAGGAATTTGATTTTTATGGGTAATCAATCACGCATGTTGGAGCAAACATAGACAAACTTCATATTTTGAAATATCAGCACCATCTCTACAAAGAGGAATCTTATACTTAATTATTTGCAACAAGCTACATATAGTTTTCTGAATGCAATCTTGAACGAGAAAAAGGGAGTCCATTCAGGACAGGTGATCAGTGAACTGTTCTTAAGCCACAATCGGAAAAGGTGAATAACAAACAAAAATTCTACACTCCATTCCCAATAGACTAGCAGTAACAAGATTTTGTCAATGCTGATGGTGATTCTGAGACGGAGACAATAAGAGAAAGAGGAGCCAAGAGAAACCATCAATAACTCTGAAATAAAAATAGCTGAAAAATGAATCATTCCCCATACGGATGCATAAGTTGAAACCTAGTCCATAAAGCAACATGAATATGAGTTTAAGTTAGTCTCAAAAGGATTTACACACCCCATACTATCAAGTTCTATAAACGTAAGAAAGCGGGAAGGGGAGAGCCATGTAACGAATAGGGGATAGGTATGTGCCTTCGTAGTTTTGTGGAGCCCAAAGAATATTTTTAGTTCAAAGGAGAGTTGTGAGGTGAGTTTTTCTTGGGTTTTAAGGGAACCTTCAGCAAAGAAAGGAGGTATATTTTTAGTATCGATAGAAAGACTCGTGCTTTGAGTGTCTTGGGAGGGTTGGGGGGTTCTCAAATCTCCCTTTGTTTACTGATCCACTCATAAATAAATTGAGTCTCACCAAAAAACCTGATCAAAATTTAGTCCATGCATTTTACACTTATTTTACTTTGTTTCTCATACTTTCAAGAACTACATTTCATCCTAAATTTTTCACAAAGGTTATATTTGGGTCTTTGGCATTAAACATGACATTATAAGGACATTGGTTGAATCCACATATTGAAATATTTGACAGGAATAACAACAAGAACTCAAGTAGCAAAGCATGACTCCAAACCTTTAAAAAGCTACAATATGTTGAAAACCTACCCCTAAGCCTCGATGATTATACTCAAGTTCACTTGTAAGGCCCATAAAATGTCTAAATAAGTATTCAAAACGAAATTGCAGTAGATATAAGCATTTCCTTCATGAAATATGCATAAAATGTCTTTATTCAGGAAATTTAGTACCTGAAAACAGAATCAGATGAAAGGACTCCAAGATGGAAGTTACTATATGGGTGCCAAGAAACTTGAAGCGTGCGTATGACATCATGGTCACCATAGTAGATTTGTGGACCAACTCTAACAGTCCTGTAAGCAATTGACAGATTCTTTAAGAAAGAACTTGGTGGAAAACGTGTTATGACATCCTTTTACATAAAATGGGAAACATAAGAACAAGACGTATGAATCTTTGAAGCTTAACATAAGAAAACAACAACATATAAGAAAAAACTTAAATTAACTAAGGCAGTGGCTCCTCCTCACCTACAGATGACAGTGCTACTATCTCTGGTCGAACTGTGACCATAGAGGTACATTATCCACAACCCGCCTGGACCCACAAGGGCTATTGCCGATCCATTCTTATTGATGGAAATCTTATGCACCATGAAGTCGAGTGGCACATTTGGTTGCAACACCTGTTCAAAGCAACTGAGATTATGAAGAATGACTAGAAAAAATGGGGGAAAACATAACATAGAACAGTTCGGAACAAAGGGATTAGCTCTCAAAATCTGCTTCAGAAAGAGAAACGAGGGAAGTGAACCGACTTTAGAAGGAGAAGCGGCGAGGACGGAGGTGGGTTCGGGTTCTCCGAGGCGGATGGAAATCCGGTGCAAGCAAAGTTTAGTGGAGTCCCAAAAGTAGAGACGAGAGGCGCCGTCCGAGACCAGAAGGCTTCTGAGAGGCGGAGAAACAGAATCGCCATAGTCGACGGCAGTGGCGGCGGTGAAAACGGGGTGGGTCTTGAGAGGAACCCAATCGACGTCCAGTTTTGGGGTTAGAGATCGACGGGGTTCAGAATCAGCTTCGTTCAGGTCCAAATTATACCTCATCGTCGTTCTGGAACCGTGTTATCGCCGATCTTGCTTTCGAATGTAGAAGCCGAATCTATTGTTGAAGTTAGAGGCGCAGTAGCTTAGCTTTGATACCTTCTTTAAATTAGTCATTAAATTTTGAAAATTTTACATTTTTAAAATTTCAAAATCTTAGAAACATTATTTTTTTATAAAAAAAAATTAATAGAGATATAATTAAAATCAATTAATTATAAATAATTAATTAAAATGATAGAAATTTATTATACATTCAACTCATTAAAAAAAAATTTGGTTTCGCTTTCCGATGTTATTTTCATATCTTAAAAGATTCTTTAAATATATTTTGGGACAGTTTAATTATAACACAATATAAACAAGCATCTTCAATTTCATGAAAATTGTGTGTGGACAAAAGAATCAGTATTGAAGCCGAACAAACCATCCTAATAAGATTACAAGGTTGTTTATCATTTTTATTTGTTTCAATCCAAACTATACATTTCACATCACATAAACTTGATGCTTAAATATGAGGTAAATTTATCGTATGTTTCTATAACAAATTTATAGACAACATTAAGATGTTAGTAAGCTTTGCACCTCCCGAATCTCCAGAATCATTTATTTCAAGTCATTACCTAAACATCTGTATCACAAATAAATAGGTTGAAATCAGGTCCCAAATGAGATGCTTCCAGAATGAAATGATGAAATATGCGAGCTAACTTGTGTGCACTCTCTCTATTCTCAGTGTGTTTAACTTCACTCTCTTTTGTAATGTTCTTGTTGGCAAATGCAGGCATGTTGAAGAAAATGTGTCGAAAATTTTCATAACCTCACCTGAACCTGAAGACGGGGTGAAACAAGTTAGATGGAAACAAGTTTTGATCTCCTGAGATGGTGCTTTTACTTCACTCTTTCCTCTTGAAGAATCTTTTGGTACCTAGGAAAACCACTATTACAAGCTGAAACCTGAGACAAAAACAAGGAAAAAAGGTTAGTTTGTGATAGAGTAACATCACGTTGGTGATGGGAGCCGAAATCAGTTCAAAGTAGTAACGATCTGGGACATATAAAGACAACTCTTTTGGTATAAAAACGCTCTCAATGAAATTAAAAGTAAACTCGTAAGAGCTAGAGTCCAAACAAGACAACGTTATAACATGGAGAGGTCCATTGTTCTAACAATAATCAATCTCTCTAGTCTTTTCTATGTAATCTACAAGAAGTTGGTCGACACTAATTACGAAGGATAACGTTCTCCCAACTCCTTGGAAGCTCAGCTTATGATATGCCAAAATGTGGCCTCAGAAGCACATGGCATATGATCAAGAGCTTAATGCTATTACAGCTATATGACAACTACGATTGAATATAATTGCCAACCCATATCAATTCTCTTATTAAAAAGATTATCAATCATGGAGAGAATATCATAATGGAATAAATAAAGATTAGTTTATATCAATAATTCATTGACATAGTCATAAATAAAGATTAGTTCGAAAGAATTTAGAAGCAAAGTTTCTCAGAGGCAAAACATCAAACACTTACCGCTTCGATATCAATCTTGTAAACCAGAAGCTTCCTCCTCTCTCTGCAACTCGTTCTATACGCCACAGCAACATGTCCAACAGCCAGAGCCAAAGAAGACATAAACAAAGCCACCTCCATGCCTCTCGCATACCCTCCTCCTCGACGGACATCCGACAAGCCTCCATCAAACACAAACGAAGCCTTCAATGAAACATAAACCAAAGAAATCACAGAACAAAGCGTCGTGATCCCCAAATAAGGCCCTCGCGAGAGCCTGGGTCCATCGCAAAAGCTATAAACACCTACACCCAAACAGAGGAATTAAATCAAAACGCAATCCCAGAAACAAACAAACAAACAAACTCAATTCCACCCACATGGGTGTGTCTTAATTAGAACTTACAAATAATGATGGCGGATCTGGCGAATGAAATCAGGGGGATATCGATAAGGGAGGATCGAAAATCGTAGTTTTTGAGGTGGGAAGGGAGGGAGTTGAGGGAAAAAGAGTAAGGGTAAAGAGAAGCAGAGAGAAGGGCATCGGCAATAACGAGAAGAACAGGGGCAGAGAAAAGGAGAAGGGAAATCAACATGGTGATTAAGAAGAAAAGGGTCTTGATTCCTCTCCATAAACGCTTCGATTTCTCTTCCTTTAAGAAACCCATTTGTCCGAATTGGATTGCTTCTGCTCTGTTCTTGGGGGGTTTTGCTCTGTTTCTTTAGAGCTCTGGCTTGCCCTGTTCTTGGTGTTGTGGTGGTGGTGGGTATGTAGAACGAAGGTGGGTGAAGGAAAATGGGGAGTTGGACATTTTTAAGCTCATCAAAGAAGAGGACTAAGAGAGAGAGGGGGGGAAGTTGTTGACTCAAATTGTGGGCATCACAAATACCTTCAACATTACACAGTCCAAAGGGAACTCCTTTTATTTTGTGCGTGTTGCGCGCAATTCCCCGTCTTAACGACAAGTACCTAAATACGTTACCCTCCTCATTCTACTCCTTTCAATATTTTTTTTAATATTTATAAATATATCTTAAATATTATATTTTAATATTTTTATTCATAATATGTTTTATTTTATTTTCAATATTTAATCCGTTTATATTTCCTTATTAATGAGAACACACATTCGATTCAATCCTATTTCTCATTTTTAACACTTTCTGGTGTGGAAATCTTCCTTTACAGGCGTTTTAAAATCTTTGAGGGGAAGCTTGAAAAGGAAAATTCAGAGAGAACAACATCTTCATCTCCGAAAGGGGTGGACAAGAGGCTGTGTGCCAACAAGGCTGATGGTGCTTGAAGGGGGTGGATTTGAGAGGTCCTAAATCGATTAGAGAAAGAGGGAGTGTCAGCGATAACACTGAATCTCGAAGGGAGGTAAATTATGAGATCTCACATAAGTTGGAGAGGAGAACCTTATGGAAACCGGATCTAGAAGGGGATGAATTAGGTGTGATTGAGGAGTGTAATTGCAGGACCGTTGCTCTTTTAATTATCACTCTATTTTATTATATTAATAATTTAAATGGAATGATTTTATATATATATTTGCTCTTTTAAGAGAATCATAAATCTTGATTTTAAGCCATGTGATCACATGGATCAATTTTTGTGATTGAGAATTGTAATTATTTGGAGTGTAATATAATTTTAATATTTAAATCACATCTTAATCAATATTTTAATTCCTTTTTCTGACTGAATTAATCATAATTTAATTTAAATTTAACACCTACTTCATTTTATTCTTTAACATCTTGGTTTAAAATAATACAATTTTTTAAATTAATTAAACTATATATTAATTACACCTGATATTTGTTGGGACTAAAAGAGTGGTTGGGTTTTGTATTAAGATCCATTTATTCTTATCTTAACCAATCCATTTACATCACATTAAAAAAAATATATGGAGATCTTAGTCCCAAAATATTTAACAAATTTAACCATTTTCAATATCAATTAATAAAAAAAAAAAAAGATTTTTAAGTATTCGTTTATTTTTTTTAAAATTAATCCATTAAAAAATAAATAAATTGTGAGTCGCTTTTTTTAAGTGAATAATTAGCTAATTTCTTCTCGAATAAAAAATTAGTATCGTCATAAGGAAAGCTGACACGTTTTATTTTTATTTTTATTAAATTAAACAAATTTCCATCATCAGCATCAATATTATAAAAATAAATTTAATTTTTTTTATTAAAAAAACTAGATTTTATGAAATTAAATATATATATCTTTTAATAAGTTGGATCATTGCGTGTGTTATAAAGCTTGAGGAATTAAGATTGTGTACGTAACAAGATAATCAAAACCCACAATTTTTTTTTTAGATTTTAGAATTTTGAAGGAAAAAAACATTTTTTTCCCTTCAAAATAATAAAAAATGGATGTTCCACCCGTCCAGTCAAAATTGACAACTGATATTATAAGTATAAAACATGTCTGTAAGTATTTACTATAAATACATATCGAAAAAATGTGACCAACTACTCTTAATAAATTTCTAGATAAAATCGAAATTGTGACGTTACATAATAATTTAAAATTAATTTGTGGGAAAACTTCGACTTCAAAATCTACTTTAGACGCTGTGTGATACGTTTAAGTTTATTGTATATCGATTATCAAATCACCACATGATAACTTTGATCAAATTTCAAAGGGTAGGTTTAGGTCATTTAATAAACATTATTGTTGTATTCCAAACCTAACCTGTGATAGTCCACTAATCTTCCTCTAACTAAAGTAACATTTAATTATAATTGTCTATCAACTATTTTAGCATAATATAGATACTAATTGATTTATTTATTTTTTATATTTTTTAGAAATAGAGTTTAGGGAAATAAAAATATATTATTTTATTATTATTTACATAGAAATATTCATACATTGGATCTCATAAAAAAATAAAAAAATATTTTTACTAATAGTTTTAAATACCTTTATCTTTTAGAATTTTTAAATTCTTTTTTACACCTCATATCATGTTTAAGAGTATTAGTTTTAGTTTTGGAAGTTTATGGATATATTTCAAACGTGGTACTAATAATTCCGTTCATATACGAACGTAATGACAATATTAAAGTTTTAAACCAGTTAAAAGAGATCTTTGAATTTTTAATTTTAAGATAAAAGTGCAAAGTTTCAAGACATATTTATTAATTTAGCCTAAACTATAGAATAGAAAAAATTATCAAACATTTGGAGCTCGGTTTCTTTTCTAGTTTTGTACTGAATTCTGGTCCGATTGATATTTGGATGAATTTTTTAATTCTAAGTTTTATCTGGTCAGGATTGACAAATTAGAGCAGTCAATGAAGAACAAGAAACGAGAATACATGGTAGCACCCATTTTTCTTTTGTTTTGAATTTCAACGTCGATGTATCTTTAACAACTATATTATTATATTATCATATATTTATTAATTTTTTGACTTTTTTTTTTCTTCTTTTTTGCTAAAATAACAACAATAATAATAAATAAAATGACCCTAGAAGAATGGAAAGTTACCGTGGTTCAGACATAAAATAAATAATAGTTAATTTAGTCATAAAATAGATAATAGTTAATTTGGATATGGCTTCTCTTGTACAAAATGCCATGTGTCATGAGGATACAATAACCACGTGGCACGTGGAAATGTAATCACCCATGACGTTATAAGAAGAAAAAATGACATCCACGTGGCTTTGGCTTGACAACACGAACCCCAAGCATACCTCAGCTCAGAAGACACGTGACTGTATGATGTGGCCCACACACGCATGCCACACGCATAAAAGATTCATCTTCCTTTTCCCTTTCTCACATCTTTACGTGTATCTTCTTCATTTGTAAGTTTTTTTTTTTTTTTTTTTTCTTTCATTTTTCTTTTGCTTAATTTCTAGAATACATGTTGTGTGTTTTTAAAAATTCGAGGGTTTTTCTTTTTTAATAATAGGGTTCAAATAAATACTAAGCTCAGACCTAATGATCGACCATTATATACAACTTGATCAAATATACTGCATTATTTGTCGGAGACAAAGAACTTTCGTAATTATTTTCTCCCATTTATATAGAATTGATAGACGGAACGAGACTTATAGAACTTGTCGACAAAGAGTATCTATATATATTTCATAATTAGGGTTTTGATTGAATACAAGACTTCTAAAGGTGGGCTTATATGGGTAGTTGAATACAAAATGAGCCCAACTTGTACCAATTAAAGGCTCGATCATGGTTTCACCCTAAGCCCACCCTTTGCTGCTCCATGTGTCTCAGAGGTTCGAATCCTACCAAAATTACAAGGACTCCTCGTTTAATGATAAAACATTAAGGTGTGAAAACCTCTTCTTATTATAGTAATAGATCATAACAGACAATATCTACTAGCTTAGGTTGTTACATAGAGAATTGTGTTTTGTTTGGTTAGATGAACAAATAATGTATTTATATCGAATGAATGAGTTTGTGTAACGGGTCGAGCCGTACTAGGTTAATTTGTTAATCAAACCCGTACTAGGTTAATTAAATATAATGTATTAGTTGATTTATTGTTTTTATGTCACATCATACCAAGTTATTATGCTAATTTTAATGTAACTTGTTGAAGTTATACACTAATATTTAGAGATCCAAATTGTGAGAGGTGTTCAACTAAAATAACAACCTTCTATTTTTTTTTTTTTTCTCTGAAAATTTTAGTATTTTTATGGAAAGATTAAAAAAAGTGAATCGGTGGGAGGTAAGATATGGCGAAGCGCAACAAGATGAGCGGTTTATAAAATGTGTGAAATGAATGTTGTGGAGCAGCTGCAACCCATTTTCAAATTTCATTTTCAATTTGATCCGTCTTCTCTCTCTCGTAGTCGTCGCCTTAACTTCCTCCGGGTAAGAGGGAGTAGAATCGGCGCTTCCTCCTCTGTTTCTTCTTTTTCCTTTCCTCTTTTTGGATGTTTCCGTTCGATTGAGTGACAACCGACATGGTAGGACCTTCCAGACCTCAGTTTGTTCTTTTTGGATCTTCCATTACTCAGTTCAGCTTCTCCAATGGCGGTTGGGGTGCTACTCTCGCCGATGTTTATGCCCGCAAAGTAACCCTTCATTCTTTTTCTCTCTATTTTTTCTTTTGGTTTTGCTTTGTTGGAATGTTACGGCTCTTGTGCCACTTTTAGAAATCCACCACCAGTTTGATGACTCTGTTGAATTTGATTTGTTCTTTTTGCTTTTGTTGCTCTGTGATCTGTTGAATGCCTGATATGAAGGGAGATAGTACATGGAAGCCATTTTGTTACTTTTGGATTTTGATGCTTCTCCTGTGAAGCCTGAAAATAGAATTTGTTCTCTGTTTTATCATCATCATCATTATTTTATGAACGTGTTCCAGCCATGATTCTCACCTACCTAAGATTTAATATCTTACTTTATTTTTGGCAACTAAATGGAGTAGAATCATACTGTTGTCTTAGGAAAGTAGTGACTAATAGATGTGTTCGAGCCTTGGGTGCCAGCGTCCTAGTTGGCACACCGCCTGGTGTCTAACTTTTATATCATTTGTAACAGCCCAAGCTCACCGCTAGCAGATATTGTTCGCTTTGGCCCGTTACGTATTGTTGTCAGCCTCACGGTTTTAATACACTTCTACTAGAGTGAGGCTTCCACACTCTTATAATGTTTTGTTCCCCTTTCCACACCTTTTGGGACTTAGCGTCTTCTCTGGCACACCGTCCGGTTGGAGAGGGGAACAAAACATTCTTTACATGGGTATGAAAACCTTTCTCTAGTAGACACGTTTTAAAACCGTGAGGCTGACGACCATACGTAGCAAGTCAAAGCGGACAATATCTATAAACGGTGGGCTTGCGATGTTGCATTCCCCTTGAATGGGTAGAAATCCTTAGCCTCCGGAAAG